CAGGAATTTAAAAGAGTGAAATTTATTATTAACAAACATTGGCACCTTCTAAAAAAGGATAGAGAACTATCGGTAATTATTCCAGAGAAACCTTTTATCACTTTTAGAGGTGCACCTAGCCTAAAGCAGATTTTGACTTTCAATCACCCAAGAAAGGAGGCACCCGATACGTTTTTAAGTGTGAATAGAAAAGGTTTCTATTCATGTGGAAAATGTGTAGGATGTAAATGTAGCAAAAATAATACTATAAAAGGTATTAGTAAATTCAAGACAAAATATACAACAGAAGAATATATCATTAAGGATTTTATTACTTGTTTTACTAAAAACATTATATACCTTTTAATATGTCCATGCGGACTCCAATATGTGGGCAGAACTATTCGCCCTTTACATAAGAGAATTTATGAACATGTCAATAATATTCGAAAAGGCATAGACCATCATAGTGTGTCCGCTCATTTTAAAAAAATATCATAATAAAGATCCTAGTGGCCTCACATTCTTAGGAATTCAAATTGTTAAAAAACCATGGCGAGGAGGTAACTTCATTCAATGTATAGGAAAAGAAGAGATGAAGTGGGTTCACACACTGGAGACCCTTGAACCAAAAGGTCTTAATATTGAATTTGATTTATATAATTTTATTATGTGAATTTTATATTTTAGATGAATTTTTTATCTGAGAATAATTACTCTCTCTTCTTTCCACTCATTAGTAGGTGCAATTGCATTTATGTATTTTAATGGAGGATTCTTTCTTTTTAGATTTTATATGTTTAGTATAGTTAATATGTTTATGACATTTCATGATTTTGTTTGGGACATGTATGTACTTTTATTATTATGTATATTATTATTTTTTTGCCATATTTTTTGCCATATTCCATTTACTGCTTGGGACTTCTTTATATAGATATTTAGGGGATCTACCCCGTTTATATGAGACTTTGGCCATTCATTTACATATTTCACGCCCACAATGTGGGCTTTAAAAGTCAGGACCAGCTGTATTAGGACGTGATCTGAGGAAGCCTTTTCTGGGCGAAACGCGTCATCACGTTCGCATACGACGTCATCACGTTATCACGTGACCGCACGGAGCTCCGAACCCGGAAGTGCCCTGTATAGTGCCGCGAGTTGCAGAGATTGTGAACCCTGGTGTGTTCATTTCTTCAAGTATCTAATGGGACACTGGCCTTCTATGGGGGAAAAGGAGTTTTTTTATTTGGAAGAAATAAATATCGTTTGATTCAGCTGGCGTCCTGCTCTTCACTGTCATCAAATCCCTGTGTTGTGGATTACATGCTGAAAAGTTAGAGCAGACTTTTACTGCTCTTTCCTTGTGAGTTTTATTCCATTTCTCTTGGCTGTTTTTATGTTATTTGAAACAGTATTATGCTATATGCTTTCTCTCTTTTTTATGTACCATACCATATGCATTTTACATTGAGACATATTTCCCTACTGTAAGTGACCATTTGTATATTTTTTTATCACTCTTCACTTGCAAGTTTTGCACATTTATTATATTGAGTGTGATTTTATTGAATATACACTTTTCATTGCACGATTTTTTTTTGCACTTGTTGCACTTTAAATTTTAAAGGTACAGCGCACCTTTTTTTGTTTTATATCCTTTGTATGGTGTTTTTTGAGCTTGTGCACTTTTAGGTGCTGCTCTACCTTTATTCTTAATATTTGCACTGATACATTTATATTTTTAGCGCCTATATTGCTTGTTTGTTTGTTTTTATTCTACTGATCAGGAATGCAGTAATCATTTTTCACTGATATGTAGCAGCAACCTAATGGCTGAAATATGCTTTTCAAAGGCCCTGGAACACACTGTACATTTACTTGTCTATGGACTGTTTGTAAACATTTGCTGAGCTTATCCATACATGTTATAGCATAACATTTAAAAAAAAAAAGGAACTGTGGTGCTACAGCATTAGCCATTTCTCTGTGGCTGCTTTGCCAAACAACTGATAGGTGTGAACTGTTAATAGCTGCCATAGTATGAATGTCATAATCGTTCAAATACTTTATCATGTTTAGGCACAAAGCAGTCAGACATCAAATGAAGACGAGTTGCAGAGCTGTCTCACGGGCTTTGCACAAGGTTGTAAATTTTCTATATTTATAAGTGTTGTTTAAAAATTCTAAATGTTATTGTATAGTCATGTATGCATAAAATAATTGTATTCTTTTAATTTAACAATGCAATGTTTTGTGGACCCAGGACATACTTGAAAATGAGAGAAATCTAAATGGTAAAATATTTTATAAATAAATAAATTAAAATCCTTTTAAAAATGGTTTATTGGGGCGGGGCCTGACCAGCAAACTGAACGGCCGCATGGTGGAGGAGCACCCGCCACAAAAGCTGTTTATAGGGACATGCTCGCTGATCTAATGCCTCAAAAGATATCGGGGTACGCTACCCAAGATGGGGGCACCCTGGTGAACCTGCAGATACCAGACTCGAGCGTATCCCACACCTGTGAACCCAAGGTAGCAGGCCATTGCCTGCGGTGGACGGAGCTGGGGGGAGGCGGCCACTCTCATCACCCCTACACTAGAGGTACCGAGCCACTGCATACCAGCTCCCCCACCTCGGGACGGGTGGGTGTGATCCCGGTCCACCCCACCCAGGCAACAGGGCTACGACAAGCACAGGCAGCGGAGCCTCACAGGCAACCCCATGCTACACAGCCCTACATAATGGCTATTGTATCTCTTGTTTTGTTTTATTTGTCTTGTATTCCCAGATCATGTACAGTCCTGTCCTGTCCTGCCCTGTCCATGTCCTGTATAAAGCGCACACAGATTCCGCAGCGCTGTACAATTAGTTGAGAAACGTACAATATACACAAACAAATACAAGAGGTATACAAAGTGGTAAGATGTTAGGGGAATGAACAGGTAATTGTGTGAGAATCTCGAACAGCTGGAGGAGCATGCTATATATTTAAGGGGAGCCTGCTGTTCGAGATTCTCACACAATTACCTGTTCATTCCCCTAACATCTTACCACTTTGTATAAAAGAGCTCCAATGGCTAGATATCAGCTTACGGGCAGGGCTCTCTTACCTCTTGTATTTGTTTGTGTATATTGTACGTTTCTCAACTAATTGTACAGCGCTGCGGAATCTGTGTGCGCTTTATACAGGACATGGACAGGGCAGGACAGGACAGGACTGTACATGATCTGGGAATACAAGACAAATAAAACAAAACAAGAGATACAAGGCAAAACAAGGAGACATAACTAAGTACTAATATGTGCAATTGATACCTGTAGTTTGCCACTGTAATGTTATGTGCATGCAGTGTGTACCACTGTCATTTAATGTTTGTGACCAATATTTCATGTAGACAGTTATTAATATTTTGGGTGATAGAATTTGATTGCTAAACTTTTCAATAGTCTATAACACATGCCTACTCTGCCCCCCTCCCCCTCCCCCTCTCACACTCTCCTTTTCCCCTCCCCTGTCGTAAATACCTTCATTAATTGTTCTATCTCTATTCCTCAGGCCTCACTTCACAATCAACTCAGTGAAGACTGCATTTTTTCTCCCCACTTCCCACCCTCCCCTCCTCCCGCCCACCCAGGCTCCCCTTAAATATATAGCATGCTCCTCCAGCTGTTCGAGATTCTCACACAATTACCTGTTCATTCCCCTAACATCTTACCAATAGCTGCTTCTCTGTTAACTCTTTCAGCCATCACCTCCAAACTTCCCCTGCTACCTTTTGTCTCAAATCCCCCTGGTATCCTTTAGATTGTAAGCTCAAGGGCCATCTAGCCACTTTGTATAAAAGAGCTCCAATGGCTAGATATCAGCTTACGGGCAGGGCTCTCTTACATCTTGTATTTGTTTGTGTATATTGTACGTTTCTCAACTAATTGTACAGCGCTGCGGAATCTGTGTGTGCTTTATAAATTGCAATAATTATTATAATAATAATAATGGCTGATGCCACATGTGGCCAAATCTACCATTCTCTAACAAAGCTGGAAGCTATATTCGATGTTTACCTGCAACGTCAACGCAGGCCCCCACAGAGACAAGCGGAAGGGACAGCCACTGGAACCAACAAAGCCGCGCCTTGCTATGCCCCAGCAGAACTTCCAAGCATCCCTGACACCCTTCCCTACGATGGGTATAGGCTGACAGAGAACCCACAAGCCGGGAAAAGTAGAGGTTCGGGTCTGGAGCCTCTGACACAATGGAAGCTAACTAAACCATACTGTAGCCTCCTAAACCGGGACTTACTAATAACATGGAACGCTAACGTAAGACTCACTGCTTGATCGTTTTACCTTGTTTCTGTTCTTTGGCTATGCTTTTTATTTACGTTCTGCTTAGCACTCTTATAATAGCCTTCCAATAACTGTATAAGGCCTTAACACAAGCATCAGCTTAGATCCCAGACTGCCTGTCACCTGCTAATTTAACGACAACAAGCCTGCCTGCCTGGCACTATCCCTGTTTATCTCGCCTGCACTACACTCAAGCCACATAGTCATATACTATATCTCAGCACACGCATTCCCGCACATAAAGGTGCACCACATATCGTTTGCCTTCTCATGTAGTAAAACATACGGGATATGCATGATTGAACTAAGCCCAAGCTACTTTAACCATAATATGTGCGGCGTTCTCAAATGTACATTAACCTTACTATAAAAATGTGCCGACTAAGCGAAATGAAACACAGCAATTGCTTTAAGTGTATAAACCCTCATGTGACATGTTTCAATGTGAATTATGCATGTTACTGCATCTGTTATTGTGACAATGCAGAACGACCTGTTAACTTGCACACAATAAAATAAATGTTTTTATTTTTATTTTTAAATGGTTTATTATCTGATAGACACTGCAACCTACTTCCACGTAGATCATTAAAATTAGTTGTGTATTTATATATATTAGAGGGGAAAGGAAAGCCCGCTGTTGCAAAGAACAATTTAACATAGGAACCTGGAATGTTAGAACTATGAACCAAGGCAAATTGGATGTGATCAAACATGAGATGACAAGGTTAAACATCGAAATACTGGGAATTAGTGAACTCAAATGGACTGGAATGGGACATTTCACATCAGACAACCATCATATCTTCTACTGTTGTTCAAGAATCCCGCAGAAGAAATGGAGTAGGCATCATAGTTAATCATCAGGTGGGCAAAGCAGTGCTTGGCTACAACCCAATAAATGACAGTATGATTTCAATTTGAATTCAAGTCAAGCCATTTAACATCACAGTGATCCAAGTTAATGCTCCAACCATGGATGCTGAAGAGGCTGAAATTGTCCAGTTCTATGACGATATTCAACAGATGATAGATATAACACCAAGAAAAGATGTTACTATCCTCATAGGTGTCAGGGGTGGCGGTCCGGTGACCGGGACCCAGTATGCCTGATCTTGATAGTAGGAGTCACTGTGTGGAAATGGATTATCAGGACATGGTGCAGGGTAACCACACGCCCCCTGGTGATGAGCACCAGCGTTTGTGTGGCCACATACCAGGGCCCTGATGCAGCTTCTGCGGACCCCAGGTGCCAGGTGACAATATGCAGACCTCCCAGGATCTGAATAGGGAGGCTCTGCAGCAGATATGTATCCAGTACTAGAAAAAAGGCAAGACTAAAACAGGCACCAAAGAAGATAGCAAGACAAGACTAGAAGAACCCAGAACCAGAGAAGGACAGAAAGCAGAACCCAGAACATGTACTCAATACAATAGGGAAACCATGAACAGGACATGGACAGGGCAGGACAGGACAGGACAGGACTGTACATGATCTGGGAATACAACAAAACAAGAGATACAAGGCAAAACAAGGAGACATAACTAAGTACTAATATGTGCAATAAACATTGGAGATTTAGACATACATAAATGGCCAAGATGTATGCAGCCCACCACTGCGCCAAAGTACACCAATTACGGTGGGTCCTAACTGCCAAATATGCATGACTAAATAAACAATAATAAAACACACACAGTACTTACCTTGCTGCACAGCGTTAAAAAGACTAAGATCATGGCAAACAGCAATCTCAGTTCCTGGCAAATAGATGGGGAAGAAGTGGAGGCAGTGACCGATTTTATATTCCTGGGATCCAAGATCTCTTCAGATGGTGACTGTAGTCATGAAATTAAAAGATGTTTGCTTTTGGGGAGGAAGGCTATGGCAAGCTTGGACAAGCTGGTAAAAATGAAAGATATTTCACTATAAACAAAGGTCCGCAAAGTCAGAACTATAGTATTCCCAGTAGTAACATATGGATGTGAGAGCTGGACTATAAAGAAGGCTGAGCATTGTAGAATTGATGCTTTTGAACTGTACTGTTGGTGAAAACTGCTTAGAATCCCCTGGATTGCAAGAAGATACAATAAATCTGTACTACAGGAAATCAAGACAAACTGTTCACTGGAAGCTATGATCATAAAGCAGAAGCCTCAAATATTTTGGCCATGTAATGAAAAGGCAGGATTCTCTAGAAAAGACTCTGATGCTTGGAAAGATTGAAGGCACATGAAGACGTAGATGGATTGATGAGGTCACTGAAGCCACAAACATGAAGTTGTTGGACCTCAGAGGGGCAGTGACTGACAGATGTACCTGGCGTGCTATGGTCCATATGGTCACGGAGACTCGGACACGACTGAACGACTAAACACACAATTTATATATTGTTAGACAAAATTTACACAGGGTTATGTAGTTGTATTTGGTATATGTATGTGATAATTAAATGTATGTTTTATTTTAGAAACCCCCATACTGTGTACAAAAAATCAACAATTTCTAATCCATATAAGGCATTACCAACTTACTGTTTGCTAAGCGCCATCATAAGTGCAAATTCTGGAGAATGCAGGGATTGCAACCCACAAATATTAAAACAGAGTGAGTATCCGTTTGGGTTCTTTGTTCATTTGTTTATTTATTTATTTCATAAATATGGTATATATACACCTTTGTGGCTGTTTTTGTACCTGTTTGTTCATATGTATATTAAAATATTATTTTATTTTTGTTGTCTGTAGCATGGTGATGCTGTTAGAGATATTCAGGACCAATGTGACAACATACGTGACGATGAACAAACATCTACATCTTCCACAGGGGTTTTAGGACAGCAGTAATTTAGTGGGACATCAATAACAAATGCTCCTCCACAAATACAGTCACTAATAACATTACCACACAGTGCACAGACAAAGCCAGCTGTCATACCACCAGTAACTGTATCAGGGTGTCAAGATTTCAATGTAGCATCAAATGTATCTGTGAAACATTCCTTTGCCCATGTAAATGTATCAACACAACCAAGAAAAGTAGATCTGTTTTCATAACGGAAGCCGACATCAAAGACAAAAACTTATATACAGGGACCACATCATTGACCTCCAGACCAATCAAAACAAAAACTCACCGCTTGATAATCCAAAATGTTTCTTGTGGTGCATGCGTGTCATACCTTTATGGTTTGAAGTTAAAGATGTTGTTCAACGAGCTAAAATATGCAAAATATTGAATGCTGATGTTCTGTTACAGCACAGCAGACCTCTTAGTCTAAACTTTACATTAAATGAAGCAAGTCGACCACTTAGAATTGGGCATGCATTGTTATACCTTGATGGACATGACAGCACATCAAGTATAAGTGGTGCCCCACCAAACAGTATATTACCTCATGACAATGTTTGTGATTTATTACCATGGTTTATTAAGGAGTTTGGTTTTTGGGTAACTTTAAGAGATTTATTATTTCTGTAATTAATGAGTTTCGTAAAAATTGCCAATTTTTACTGATGACGAAGTTAGACAACACACTTTTTTTTAGACCGTTTAGAAATATTTGACCATGCTACCGAGGACTTTTCACTCAGGACTACATTTGTTGAAACCCATGTGACTAGCCATGGTTGGTCGGGGTTTATTAACCCAAGCAAAAATATGGGGCAGACAGAGACATATAGCTGAGCGTTGTGATAGAATTGTAAAAAGTTCCGTAAGTACACTGAGAGGTGTATTACATTATGCAGTGTCTAGGCAACAGCGTAGAACACCTGTGATACTTCCACCTGAGAATGGCGTAGACACTCCTGGTACCACTGTGACACCCTACACATATGATACTGAAATAGTCGTATCGCCTACAGAGCATTCCCCAGGTGCATCAAAGCACTCCTAGTCCTGAAAATATTGGTGATGAGAATATCCTGATGTGAATATCCTGATGCGCAGAACCCCAATGATGCGCTAGAGGCCCCTGTATTTTTGGGGCATGTTCAACAACACCGCAGAGATATTAACAATTTTAATGCCATTGAATATAATTAACATTTTGGCTTGTAAATGTCTGTGTATGTGTACATGACTATGTACAGATTCAAGTTTATACTGGAAGACACCATAGCTATTTTACCCTCTGACAATTAACATAAAAGTCAAAAACATTTTTGAACACAATCTGTATAGTGGTTAATGCATGGTGCACACTAGGACGGGGTAGCCATTCAGCACACTCTACATGGTGGTGAAAGGGCTGTTGGCAACAATTTTTTTTGGATTGGTATGCTCTGATTAATGGTCAGTCTACAGCTTTTAATTTCCATAGGTGTTTCTACCATGGGTAACAGGTTTGTTATAATGGGAAAGCTTTTAACATGGTTACAAAAACTACCTATACCCAATTTAAAGCAAAATAATGCATTCTCACAGCCGTTGGAGCCTCGTGTTGTGCTTTACAGGGACCGCACAAACACTATCAAATTGTACCACAAAGCAACCCCAGGTGAAATCACACACTATAAGGATTTTACCAGTCTATATACCTACATCAACAAAACAAAATTATATCCCACTGATATTCATTTATGATAATTTCCAGTCTTTTGATCACTATTTTGGCATTGCTAAAGTAAAAGATTACCCACGTTCTGCCTGTGAAAATGAATGCAAACGTATGTTTCCATTATATCGCACATGTACAGCTAATAACCAAACAAAACATTGCGAACATAATGAGGAGGATCAACCTTTGATAGGAACTTGGTGCACCTTTGAAATACATCAAACCCTGATTAGGGCTACAGACCCATCGTAGGGCCAACTCTTCATCCACAGCCGAATTAATGACTGGTTTGGCAAACTTGCTACATTTTAGAAACAGCTTCATGCGAACTGGTGCAAACCTGCTGATTCCCACCACTGCTTTAGCGTCTGTCAAACTTTAAACCCTCTTTACTTTAACCACTTCTAACATTATCTTTAACCATGCATGCATTTAACACAGCTGCATACACTCACACACACACACACACACACACACACACACATATATATATATATATATATATATATATATATATAGTCCATATACCTGCACTCCAGATTGTATACTATATCAGGCCCGATGCTGGTCTGCAAAATTATAAAGAACCTTGAAAAAGATAGCACTCAAGGGACCTAAAAGTAAAGTAAAAATAAAACGTAACTTTTATTCAATAGATGCTTGCCAAAAAAATATCGACGATTCAGTTTACACATAAACTTTCTTCAGATCCTGAAACAAAATCACTAGACCAGTCCTTGATAAGCAATACATTTGGGCGACTTGGGTTTTCCAAGTCTAAGTTCTTACTGTGTGGCTGCCCAACTCCTTCAAATATAAGTTTGACATTGAGGCAGGGTGGTTGACTGGATTTGAACACAGAACCTCTTATTCCCTTACCATATTGAGTTATTATTATTTTTTTTTTTTTTTTATGGCTTCCTAAAACAGTTCGTCTTTTTCCCCATGGTGGATCCTTACCTTGCTTTGCTTGCCTACAAATGGATTGCCAGCCTACAAAGACTTAGGGATTTAGAGTAGAACCTCACCAACTCTCTAGAACTTCTTTAGATTTGACTAACTTTGCAGTTACACCCTGCAGGTTTATATATGCTCTGCTGCTTCAAGAGATTTGACACGCTTTAATTCTCTCTGCTTGCAGGTATCATATCTTAAGGGCCTGACTTCCATGCTCAGTACTTCTTTGACCTCTATTCTTGACTGAAAGGTCCTCCTTTATATAAGGAGATGGGAAAATGGGTTTGAGGAAGGTATTACTAATGAGGACTAGTTAGATATATGGGAACATAATGCTAAAACTTCAATCTGTAACTTTACAGGAACAGGGGATGAAA